ATAGGTTATAAAGTGGGAAAATCACATATATGGTCCCTCAGTTATCCACAAAATTAAAATCTCATACCTGTATTTCTAAGATTGTAAATGTCACCCCTCAATTGTCCAAATTGTTGTAATTGTGATCCTTTAAGTAGTGAAATGTACTCTCGCCCACATTGTATATTTCACCCCTCAAACGGACCACATTTACAACATTTCTGACAATTGAGGGGTGACATTTACAATCTCAGAAATACGGGTCTGAGATTTTAATGGGGTTTTGACATGAATATTATTAAAAAAACAAAAGCTAATGGACGAAAAAGTGGGATTTCTATTTAATTTCCAAGCGTACGACTAATAAAGGCATACATGTCTAAACTACCCTTTCTAAATCAACGCTGCATCCGGATGAGTAATCCCTACGCACTCAGTCCGTCAATCTTGCAATCTATTCCGTGTGTTTTTCATTTTAATACTTCATATTACTTACGTATGGAGTATATCTCAAGATACATTATCGTTTTCATAAGAATTATTATTCATATAGATGTATGGAGTAGCAAATATGAGTAAATATTTAAATTATTACATCTAAATTTGTGTGAAAAATTTTCCAAGTGACAAACGTTCAATTACTGTTGTTTTAGTGACTACCTTTCGAGTGACCACCATTCCAATTACTATTGTTTAAGTGACTATTGTTTCAATTACTATCGCTTCAATGACCACCGTCTCAGTTACTACCGCTCCATTGACCACCGTCTCAGTTACTACCGCTTCAGTGACCACCGTCTCAGTTACTACCGCTCCAGTGACCACCGTCCCATTTATCACCGTTTCAGTTACTGTCGCTCTAGTGACCACCATCTCAGTTACTACCGCTCCAGTGACCACCGTCCCAGTTACCACCGTCCCAGTTATTGTCGCTCCAGTGACCACTCCAATCCAGTCATTACTACTTTACTTATCATCCTCTCAACTACTACCGCTCCAGTGACCACCGTTATAGTTACAAAAGTCCAACATCCATAGTGACCAAAATCTTTGTGATTAAAGTTATCAGCGAAACAAATCCATTAGTGGCCAACGGAACATTGACTACCGCCGGTCATAGTGACAAATTTATTGCCCACCGTAATGAATTCCCAACTAGTGGCATTGCCACCCATAGTGACCTGCCGCCTAGTGACATTGCCAGCTTGCAGCGCATAGTGACATGTCAGTCGGTGACCTCGTCACCCACGATTACATTTCGGCCAGTGACGCTGTCGGCCATTTACCAAATTTTTTGTCAATGGCCAACTGCCTTCATTGTGACCACAACCATAACTACCGGTGAGACGACTGCCGCCCCCGGCGGCAGCCAGTGGTGCACTGCCAGCCTCCCCAGCCCATCCCCTCTCCGGCAGTCCTGCAGCCCCCAACCACCCCTCTCCCGCCCCTGTTTCATACCCCAGACTTGCCCCATCACCCCATGCCCCACTAGTCCACCCTAGCCCCTGCATCACACCCCAGACCCGCCCAATGTCGTACCAGTCCACTCTAGCCCACCTCCTGACCCACCAGCCCACCCTAGTCCTCCCATTGACAGTAGACTCCACTCGCCCAGCCTACCCCAGCCCCCAGCTTCACCCTCACACCCCAGCAACCATCCCCTAGTCTCACCCTCAGACCCCAGGCCCCGACCCTCAACCCCCGGCACACAGCTTCCAATCCAAGCACCCGTTCTAGATTGCACTCTAAAACTGGATTTTTGGATGAATTCCTTCGTCCCAATATCAGTGTTTTATTTTTTTTTGTCTGCCTTATTAAATTTGTCTATTATCATATAGAGTATTTAATAATATTTTTGTGTCTCTAACTTATTCTTATTTTATTCTCATTTTATTAATTCGTTATCAACTACATGAACGAGTCTTTTTTGTCCAAATAATAGGGGGATGGAGTAGCAATTAACTCAAAAATTGAAATATGGATAGCATAGAAATTTGGACTTCAATTTTGATTCATTCCACGGTTCCACCTATACACCAAGGGCGTTAATCATCATAGCTTAAACGTACAAGTGTAGTTATTCTTTCCTTCGAGAAGCCATGGCCCATGGGTCTGCATGTATATACATACTTGGCTAAATTGTACTCCCTTCGTCCCAATTTGTTTTACAAAGTCAACATTTTTGGTCAAACAAGAATAAAAGTCAATCCTCTCTATCAATAATTAGTTGAATTTTTAATAATTAAAATTTACATATTCAGAAACTACATTAAAATCTCTTCAAAGTTGTAAACTCCAAATTAGAATATAATTAAAAATTGATATCTTAATTAAGCAAATAAAATGAAACAATTTGACCGAGAAAAGTCAAATTTGCAAATCAATTTGGGACGGGGTAGTAATTTTAATGAAGACTAAAAAAAATCAAATCATTTCCTCTTCCATTTGACAATTATTATTGTCAATTTCATGTCTAAAATTTGTCATGACAAACAATAAACTTTTGTCAAAATGTTTCCTTTTCCACTAATAAACATGACAAACAATATAATTGTCACATAACAACACTAAACTTTATTTCAGTTACAACTGAAAGGATGAATGAAAAGAAATACGAAATATTACTACATATTGAATTCATTAGTTGAGAATGATTTATTGACCGCTGAGGACATTCTAAAGTTTGAATCCTCGAAACCGCTAAGGAGACAAAATGTTGGCCGACAAGAGGACTCGTGCAAGAAGACTGCCAATTTGATGTCCTCTAAACTACTATGAGGAATTCAGATATAGTTCATTGAAATTTGGAAACAAATAAATAATTGAGATGAGATTTGAGAGCAACATGCTCTAAAATAATTATATATATTTGTTATGTTATAATTAAAATGAATACAAGGTTTGAAGACTAAAGAGATGTGAAGACTGAAAAGGCATGCCTTTTATTAATCCAACAACAATTATATTGCTTTTAAAAACTACAACCGACCTACTTAAAGTTAATGTGTATATTCTTTTTAAAACTTGGCTTCATTTAAGATTTGTTATTGATGTTTTAAATTTTCAAATTGTCAACAAAATTAAACATTAGGCCTAATTAATTGAACGTAACAATAAGAAAAAGTCTGCTCACACTATATATAAAATAAAATTTTTGTCATGTTTTTTCTTCTATTTTTTTCCGGGCCTAGGGCGTTCTCCGTTGTCCCCCCCCCCCCCCCCAAACCGTCCCTGGTTGTTACATACATAAGCAAATGATTAAATGTATCTGTATAAAACTCAAATAATATAAAATGAAATGCTTCTTTATCCTGTGTCGATATATTATGGCTCAAATTTTAGAAATCTATTGATTCCTTGTGATTCATTACTTTATCTATTGATTCTTTTATGATCGAGATGTATAGATTCGAATCTAAAAAGGTGTATAGATCTGAATTACTTGTGTCCAATAATGTTCGGACCCGGACCGAAACCGGTACCAGACCAAATTGGGTCGGGACAGGGCTTCAATTATTTAGAACCAGGACCGACCGCGCCGGACCATCTCCATGCTTACTTAGAACAATAATCTTCTAAAAACTCCTGCCCTTATTTAACAATTCCGATCGATAATACTGAGACAAAGAAATACAATATCCATTTGGTATACACTTTTAATAGTAGCCCACAAAGAGCATTAAAACTCAAGCATGTTTGGTAAAGTTTAAATCAAGTCTACACATCAAAATATAACACAGTTGTATCAAATTTATACATGGTAACATGGAGTCGTTCTTAAAACAACAAGGGAAAACTGTCAAATATGTCCTCAAACTTTCATAAAAAGGTCAATTAAGTCCTTCTATAGGAGGTTGTGTCCAGCCGTCGCGATTTGGGACAGTTCCCGGTGGAATTTTTTGATGAAATATTTTTGGCATCTTATTCACCAAGTCTAGTTTACTCACACCAAATTTCAGCTAAAAATTCAGTCAGGAACACATTCAAATTAATTCTTGAAGATAACTGCGCATGTTTGCGTTCTCGAATTAATTTGAATGCGCTCCCGATTAAATTTTTAGCTGAAATTTGGTACGAGTAAACTAGACTTGATGAATAAGATGCTCAAAAAATTTCATCAAAAGATTCCACCAGGAACCTTCCCAAATCGCGGCGACCGGACATAGTCTCCTATAGAAGGACTTAATTGACTTTTTTATGAAAGTTCGAGGACCTATTTGACAGTTTTCCCAAACAATAATCTTCTAAAACTCATGCCGTTCTTTAACACTTCCGATTTAATATTGAGACAAAAAAAATATACTGCGTAATATCTTTTTGGTACACACTATTAATAGTAGTCAACAAAGAGGGTTAAAATTCAAGTATGTTTGATAAAGTTTAAACCAAGTTTATACATGGTACAACACCACTACTAAGACGAATGTTTCACCTTTTTAAAATATAATAATACAGTTGTATCACATTTATATGTAGACTGTAGAGTACTTAGAACAGTAAGGTTATAGAAATTCCTGCTATTCTTAAACCATTCTGATCTATAATACTGAGAAAAAGAATATACTCTGTAATTCTGTTTTGTATACACCATTAATAGTAGTCTACAAAAGAGGGTTAGAATATAAACATGTTTGTAAAATTTAGGCTAAAAGGTGAAATAGGCCCTCGAACTAACTTAAAAAGTGGAAATCATCCCTTATATTGGAGACTCTTTTTGGCGTCGCCATTTGGGGCGATTCCTAGTGGAATTTTTTGATGAAATATTTTGAGCATCTTCTTCATTAAGTTTGGTTTACCCATACCAAATTTAAGCTAAAAATTCAACTGGGAAGATAGTTAAATGAATTTTTAAAGATAACTACATAGTTAAACAACACAGTACATTTCAAAAAATCATTTGACTATCTTTCCGATTGAATTCTTATCTTAAATGGTGACGGTCGGGCACCTTTTAAGTTAGTTTGAGGGTCTGTTTGACTCTTTAGCCTAAAATTTAACCAAGTCTACACATGAATACCACTACTGAAACGAATGATTTACCTTTTTTAGATATAATATAGTACCGTACATAATATTTGTTCAGAACTAAGCAACACAAACACAATGAAATTCTAAGTACTTCTTAGTTCTTTAGACAATAGAACGGCCGGTGTGAACGCATAAATTGCAGCAGCATACAAAACTACACTAAAAATACAGATTCTAAGAGCAGGACTCATCAAAAGATGCCGACTTGTCTTGCTGCTCTGATTGTAGCTGGAGGATTCAAGTGTACTAGAAGAACAGAGAGATGGGTTCTTCTCCTTCTCCTTCTTCATAAAGGAGGAATATGATTCAATTTCTCCCTGGGTGAGCGCTGGCTTTAGTGACTGCCTGACGGTTTGGAAGTGTCGATCACACACAACAGTGGCTGAAATATCTTCTCTTAAAGCAACAATTCCGGCTTCTCTGCACAGCCCTTCCAACTCTGCCCCTGTGTAGAGATCCGTATTCTCAGCTACTTGCCTAATGTCAACATCGGCATCTAACTTCATGTTACGTGTATGCACACGAAGGATCTCACATCGAGCTTCTAAATCTGGTGGCGGCACATAGAGAACCTGAGGATATATGCAGTTATTACTGTGTAAGATAAAAGCAAGAGAGTTATGTCTAGAAGTGTTCAAGAAAAATCAGCTAAAACTCTTGCGAGAAAGTTCACTAAAGCTCTTCTATTAGATTGTTTGACATCATCTAATCTGGGATATGCTATTTGGATTTTTAGCTCATCTGGTAAGGGTGGATTTGGTTGAAGTAACTAAGTTGCGGCTGATATATTGATGAAGTTACTGAAATATGGGGAAGCAATACTTTGAACATATTTTATTGGCAATATGAAAGAATAATGGACTCCGTAAAAAAAAAAGCACCCAACTTGAACTTCACCAAACCCAGCCGAAAATTACATGAAACCCTAGCTCACCAAAATGTGCGGAATCAAATAAATTAATGTTTAGAAAAAAATTGCCTACAAGGATGATACGCTGAAAAAGAGTGGCCGCAGCCTAAAACAGCACTTTGTACATTTAGTCTTTCCATTGTTATCAATGAGATAAACTTGTGGATTAGAATCAAGGTTTATGAGCAGCATTCACAGCAGTACTAAATGCTGAGAATGCCCGTATATAACCTAATATTTATGGGTGCGAATGCAACTTTAACCAAGGATACATTGTATCTAAACTAATGTGCAACTTTCCTTAATATTGAGTACTTGGAATTATTTTCCCACAGAATATATGTGCTCAAGAGTGCAAGTAAACTATGAAATAACTGATACCAGATCAAAGCGCAAGTAAACTATGAAATAACTGATACCAGATCGAAGCGCCCAGGTCGCATAAGTGCAGCATCAATTGCCTGAGGGCGATTGGTTGCAGCTAAAACAAGAATCCCCTGATGGATTGAAAGGAAGGTGTGTTTAGGTTGCATTACTTTGGCAAATAAAGAACAATAAAGGGATTTCTGATCACCTTCATTTGCTCCAGGCCATCCATTTCAGTCAAAAGAGTAGACAGAAGTCTCTCCCCAACAAGGCTGCTTCCGCTAGAACTTCCACCACTACAAGAGTAGATAGAAAAATAAACAAATATAGGATAAAATTCATATGTTTGTCCGGGCCGGTCAATGACCCGGTCCGGGCCGGTCAATGACCCGGCAGTCTCGGTTTTTTTAAAATTCATTTTTTAAGTGAAGAGTTTGAATAGAGCATTGAGTTTCAACCAATAGGGAAATTAGAAAAGAATTTGTCACACTAACCGTTGAGATCGACCGAGACTGATCGGTTTTGGTCCCGACTATCCTATATGGGACCTGGTACCCTACTTGGATTGTACTAGGTTTGATTTCGGAATGAGACCACACTTTCGGTCTTCTGGACGATCACAGAACCGGGTGAACAGAATTTGACGAACATGTTTTCAGATTTGAAAATGGAAAACTAAAAAATGAAAACAGAAAATTGGAGATAGAAAAACTGGAACATGAAAACAGAAAATTGGAGAACGGAAAACAGAAGTAGAAAACTGGAAAATATCTCTGTTAGTAAACAGGCCCTAAAATTTGCATATGCATGCTAAATAACTAACTAAATAAATAAATAAACAAGTCATGTTCGAACAATGCATTACTTTTATTTACAGGGTGGGTACCGCGGACCTTTTGGCAGTGACCTCCAAGAGGATTCAAACATGTAACCCCAGAGAACATTTTGTTCCTGGATTCAAACTAGTTGAAACATGAACAACCCCTGAAGGTTAATGCAGAACTTTTTAATTTTACTTAGGTACTCATAAATCGTGAATAATATTTATAGTTGTCTATTTATTTTTTATTTAAACTAAATTTAACATATTACCATATGTAACTTTATGTGACATTATTTTTTAAAAATTACATGAACGATTTTCTTTGTTTGGTCTAAGTTACTCTTTTTGGGAGACAAAAAGAGTTCGAAAGAAACTTTTTTGGGATGAAGAAATATTTATCCTGGTGTACACATTTGCAGTGTTTTATCACAGTGTTTTAATAATCGGGCTAGTTAGACATGCAGACGCCTCTTGAGCAATTCATTTCTAAGCAGATTAGGAAGCCAGAGTGCTCTTACATAGGTTAGCTGCTCGTTTAGGCACACTAGGCAAGCTAAGCATCACTCAAATGCCTGGCTACTGCCTAAGCAAATCTCAGAACATTGGTTTCTCCTAGTCATCACTGGAAGTAAGCAACTAATTCCTAGAAATTGAAGCTCAATTAAGTCACATTTACATAAGGGGAACTTTTTATCCTGCGCAAATTACCGTTTGGCAGCAATGACATCAGCTTCATCAAAGAAAATAATGCTTGGTGCTGCAAGTCGAGCTCTTCGAAATGTATTGCGCAACAAAGCTTCACCTTCACCGACATACATCGAATACAATTCTGCACCACTGGTGCATTATCATTAAAATAATATGAAAAATGTTGCAATTCTCATAAAGAACATAAAAAGTAAGGTTTCTTATCACATACCTCAACGAAAAAAAGGAAGCCTGTGCAGCATGAGCAGCAGCTTTTGCAAGGGTGGTTTTAGAGCACCCTGGAGGTCCATGAAGAAGGATGCCATGAAGAGGTGATACTCCCAACCGCGCAAATGCTTCAGAATGCCTTAACGGCCACTCTACAGCTTGCTGTAGCTTTTTCTGTTCCATTTATCAAATAAAAAAGTTATATATAAAGATATTTAGCCCGAGAGAGTGTTTGGTGAGGGTTGTTAGACCATATATGCTGAACTTTCTAAAAGGAAAGGCGCATAGAAATCGATTTCAGCCAAATACGTATGTTAAAGGCTACTTATTCTGACTATTCCGCTGAAAGGAGAATATACAGAATAAGCCTATCAACTTTAACAAACAGGGTCCGAGTAAGCTAACAGGTACAAACCTTTATGCCTTGTAGTCCTCCAATATCCTCCCAAGAAACCTTTGGAATTTCCACAACTACACCTCTTGTTATACTAGGACCAACAATAGATTTGGCATGCCTCCAGTCATCCACTGTTATGTTCAAAGAGCAATCTACTTGATCTAATTCTGAAGATTGTCTGACAGCAGACGTAGTAGCTTCGCGGCATAAAGCTTCTAAATCTGCCCCAACATAGCCATTACAAGAGGCAGCGATTGACTGCAGGTCAACACTGGGGTCTAATGGAAGCTTCTTAGTGTAAAGCTGCAATGTGTCAACATAAAATACACCATCACTCAACAAAATCTCCATAAAACTTTAACATAAAAAATTGTTATTGTTGTTGAGGATTTATTAGACTTGACAGCCCAGTTTCAATAAGTCCTACAAGATATATTTTGCTCTTTACCCATCGATCCTTTTTGTCGAGTATTAATCACAAGCTGGACATATTATGTGTATTCTCGTGAAATTTATAGCTTTTGTCCTCTTCATTTTTTGTTTTTTTACAAGATTTTGTGTTGTTGTATCTTTTCTTTGACCTTTGTATGTTTCTTGTATTAATATATTTTCTCAGAATTTTGACAAAATAAAAAGCAGGTGCCTCCTAAATAATAAGGTGAAGTTCATAAGAATAATCCATACGTTTATGGATTCTATAATAATAATCCCTACTCAAAGTGTCCACAAAAATAATCCGAACTAGCTATGGTATTCATAAGAATAAATTGGGGTGAATTTAAATTAATGCTAGTTTAATACTTTCAACCTTTACTCCCACTTTTCTCTTCCCCGCTCTTCTTCTCGGGGATAATTCAAACTAAACATGTTTGATATCAACACCATTCCCGCCATATGTGGTTCTCCCTAGGTTGGAACATAAAAGTGTTAACCGAGACGGAGAGTGGAGAATGGGGAAATAAATGTAGGGACTGAGTATTAAAAAGACATTAGTTTGAATTCATTCCAATTTATTCTTGTCGACACTATTGCTAGTACAATTATTTGTATGGACACTCTTAGTCGGGATCAAGGTTGTCAAAAGCGCTCGCCTCAGCGCTCAAGCGCACAAGGCGCAGCGAGCATACCCCCCAGCGCTTGGAAATAGGTGAAGCGCACGTACCTGGGTAAGGCGCATGAAGCGCATCAAGCGCTGCAAGTCGCACGCCTGGGTCGCCTGAGCTGGAAAAGGGCTGACAGCCTTTTTTTGTTTTAAACTTTCAAATACAATTAGCCCATATCTTTAATAACACTAAACCCATGAAAATATTTGGGTAAAAACAGTAAAACCGACGTAAAACCAAGAGTCTATATAAGTAAACACGTAAAACTTGCGCAAGACACTACTGCAATCATCGCTAGCCATCCTCACTCTCCTCACTTGAAGCTGCTCTACACCAGCCAGTTCTTTAAGCTTTCATCATCATCTCAAGCAAACTCAGCTCTCCCTCTCAGCACTAAACAAGGTATGTTTTCTTTTTCATGCAGTCCTCTTCATCCAAATACTCATATTACACTAGTGTCTAAATATTAGCGTAAATGTGTAATAAAGTAATAATACTACGTATTAGTATATTAGTATGTATATAATACTCATATGTGCTCTGCTTTGTGGTTTTGTAAAGATATTACTCTATAATCTTTCAGAGTATATTAAGTTCTTAACTTTAAATGCATTACTCAGTTCTGTCACTCTTGTGTTTTATAAATATTAAAGATATTACTCTGTTTGACCCAACTAGAGTAAAACATGGCTGTTAACAAAGGGCTGAGTATAACATGTTTTTCAAAGTTGATAACCACCTTTTACAACACACAAGATGACAAACACAGATGGAAAACTAAAAGAACATGATAAACACACAACCAGCTTTCTGTTTTTCCATTATTGAGCACCCATATTCGAGTGTTTGGCCCATAAATATATTATATATGTACTCTACTTTGTGGTTTTCCAAATATGTTTTCCAGTGTATTAATTATTAAATAATTCCAGCTTTGTACTTTTCCAGGATATGGAAGGTGGAACAAGTGCTGCAGGTGGCGCTGAAAGTGAAAACTCTACAAAAAAGACCCAGCTTGGAAACGCAATTACTTGGCTAACAAAAAAGATCCCAATTTTTGTGAATCATGACTTTATTTTGAGCAAAGTGGAGGGCGGGTATTCGTGTGGATGAGTGATATCGTATTATCTTTTCCCCTCTTTTTTTCCTTTTTTTTTTCTTTTTTTTTTCTTTTTTTTTTGTCTTTTTTCTTTTTTTCTTGTTTGTTTTTTATACTTTTTTGCTTATATATATAAACATTATTTTTATGCTTTTTATTTTATCATTTTTGGGTATATTCATCTCTTTTTATATTATCTTTTCCATAATAGCTTATCTTTTTATCTTTATTTTCTTACTCTTCCTTTTGGTGGTGATATCTTTTGGGACTAAGGCTTGGATGTTGTTGTTGTTGTTGTTGCATGACTTTATTTTGATGAATCCTAGCTTTTTTATGCATTTGGTTCAATATGATGTTACATACATCATATTTGGTAATTATAGAACAGTATATGTGATTTTATCTAAGTAGTGCGCTTCACCCGAGTCAGGCGAGCGCTTTTTTGCGCCTCAGGCGCTGGGAATACCCTATCGCCTTGAGTGCGCCTCACGACTTTGACTACCTTGGTCGGGATTATTATTGTAGAATCCATAAAAGTAGGGATTATTCTTGTGAATTTCCTCAAATAATAATAAATACTCCATGATGAGCACCATACATTGAGGATATGAAAGCGTTCATCTTCATTAGGGGTTGTGACTTCAATCTCAGCATCAAAACGCCCAGATCTTCTTAGAGCCGGGTCGAGTGTGTCAACCCTGAACATTAATCGCAGAAAACATTCATCTTAAAAGACTTGCAACCAACAATCTATATGGTATTAAAAATAAACATTTAAAAGACAGTATACCAATTACAGATGGCGTAATTTGATTCAGATATCATAGTATGGTTGAAAAACTTAACAGTTTTTTTATTCAAAAAGAGATTGTTTATCCTTCACCACAGTGACAAAAAAAACTTACTGATTTCTTAAAATAAAAAACGGATGTATGGTTGTAAATTAAAAATGGTGTATATTATTAGCTCAGACACTACAGTATGGTTGTAAAAATCAACAGTTTGTTCGATTCAAAAAGCGACTATTTATCCCTCACCATAGAGAGAAAAACTTTAGTAATCCCACCCTCCCTGCCTGCCATGAATAAAACATATTAAAGTTGTATTTCTTTGGGTATGGGTTCATGGCATATCAACATCTTTGCAGTTAAAATAATATAAACATATAAAGGTTGGATTTCTATGAGTACGGGTTTATTCCATATCAATAATTTATAGTGATTGTAAAATAACAAAATAGGTGATACCCTTGAAAGCAACACCACCAAATTACTATTGACCTTCAATAATAAAAGATAGAATAATAATGCTTTCTTTTGCAATCCACATGTCAAAAAATATCCTAAATTGGAATAGTATCGGGGGGTTTGATTTGCCAAATTGCCATTACAGGTTACTTGAGAGAATGATGGAAAAAAGGGTTTCTTCGTCAAGAGTAAATCGCATTTACTAATATATGGAACTTAAAAGTAAATAAAAATAACCAAAATGACCTCTTTGTACTTTATTTGAATACAACACAAGAAAAAATGGAAACCAAAAAGTTACTTCCCTGAAACATCAGTAGAACCCACCTATTAGTTGATGCCACTACAACAACATGTAATCCAGATGTTGAAACGGACTTATTAGAGTCCATCAACATAAAGAGCTGAGAAGCTACACGTACATCTTGTTCTCTTCTGCGATAGCAAACTCACCAAGTATGTTGAATGAAATATGAATATGAAAGTATTATGTGCAAGTGCAATAATCTATGAAGCACGGAAACTTCCAATGGCTCATGCTTCCCCGCTCCGCAAACTGGAAAGCGTATCAAAAACTCCAGAACTTCAAATTCCAGTTTGAGCGGTGTTTCAATAATTAAGAAAAATTGGAAAGCTTGTTTCCCAAAATAATAACGTTTAGGAAATTTTGGATTTCCAAGTATTTTTCTTTTTGATGGGATCCATTGACGGAAAATAGTGCCTTTCCAAAACTCTGGTGAATTTTTATAAGATTTCTTCCTAGCAAAAGAATAAAGTAAGAATGATTTAGAGTCACACAAACTTCACCAAATTTGGTATGGGACAATTTAAGTGGGATTTCCCGAAAAGGTAAAATGGGACAATATTAGCGGGACAGAGGGGGTAATAGTTTATAAACTTGAATACATAGTCTTTAGTTACTAATGGTTATCAAACAAAATTATATGAAATAATGTGCATATATATAAACGAAAAAACATGTATACATATATAAAAATATTTATACATATGTCCTCATGTTTTTTAAAATTAGTGTGTTTTTCCCATATTTTGTGTCATGTATTTTTTTAGAAACCATATTTCCGATTTCCATACTACTCAGGCAATGACAATGTTTGAAATTGCGTTTTGCAAGCTTGAGGCGGTTTCTTAGCATTACCTATTGTGTAACCTCATTGTGCAATTTCAAACGATGGGCAATAATACATTAAGAAAGCATTAAGTGATACAAGTTTGAGATAAAGTTAAAACTCATGGCCCTGGAAAGTGTATTAACTGGAATGATTACCTAGAATCACGACGAGGGCATAGTACATCAATTTCGTCTATGAAGATAACAGATGGCTTCCCAAGGTTTGCATGAGACGATGCTTTTGCAAATGCTTCCCGCAAAACTCTCTCGCTTTCTCCAGTATGTGCTCTATGGACACTGTGTGGGCTACAGATGCACCACAAAATTAATGACATTTGGGATTCATGCCCATATATTTATCACAGCTTCTCATATGGGAAAAGAGACAAGGCATTCACATATGACCCACAAATATTTTCTTGATATCTCCCAAAGCAACTAATGTGTGTCAAGTTTCTTCATAAGCTATGTAACGTTTTAGCATAAATATCTCCACTTTAACATCATGATAAGCAATGAAACATTTCATTAACTCCAAAATGTACATTTTATTTCTATGATTCTATCACTAAAATGTGCCCATAACACTACCTTAGTCCCGAAAAAAGTCACCATTGTAATACTAGGATCATTATTTTAAACACAAATTACACGACTCTATTCTGGGGAGGAATGAGTACTTAGTCTCTCATCTGCTTAAAAATAGAAAATAAAGCTTGCTAGGGGATAGCTCTATATGTATAGATCTAAAAAACCAAACATGACACACATAAAACATTACAATATGTAGTACCTAATAACAGTCAAATGTGCTCCACATTCTTGAACAACTGCTCTAACCAAACTTGTCTGCAAATCCAGTAATACATTATTGGAACAATATTTGAGAAATAGATCCCTTTTTCTCACAATGCAAATGGTGATCAAGCTAAGAGATAGATAGCCAAGAGAATAAATGTGTATCTACCTTTCCAGTACCAGGTGGACCATAGAGCAACAAGCCACGAGGCCACTATAAGAAGACAATGAAAGATACCCACAAATAAACAAGTCTATCAATATTATTAGTGAGGGGAACTATACAAAAACATTTGTATCCAAATTACTTTGAGGCCAATCTTTTGAGACTCTTGAGAATACAGGAGTGGATACATAATGAGTTCCCGAAGAGCACGGACCGCCTCTGCATTTCCAGCAATGGCATCCTCAGCCATCCACTCTCTGCCTCCAGTTGTACTTCCATTGCTGCTTTCCATTAGAAGTTTTATTGTATGTTTCTAAATCGTTCTTCCAAATAGGTTTTCAAGGCAGCTTTTATGGTTTCAGGATTGGCAAATGAAAACCTACAGCAGAAATTACAATGTCACGGTGGTGCAGCCGGGACAAATAAATAAAAAAACACAAACTAAATCAAAGGAAACCACTCAGATTCTTTTCAAAACACTACAATAGGTAAATTAATACTCCGAATTAACATGATAGGCTCAGGAACCGATTACTCTTCCAGAATTTGTTGACTGAGACCGGGCCTTCCTGTTTGTCAGGACAGAGCAAAACTCTTTGACTTTTTTCTCAATTTTTTTATATTCCATACTTTGTCATAGTATTGAATATGATAAAACTATGTTAAAAGATATAATAATAGTAATACCTTTCATCTGATAAGTTGCATATATAAATAAAAATAGCACCACAAATAACAATTAAAGCTAAAACATAAATGTAAAATTTAAAAACATCTTTCATACAAGATTGTGAAGCAAAATCGTCAATCATAGCTTCAAAATCAATCTCTTCAAGCGTCTCATGCTGGACGCTTAATATTAGTAATCCACTAACCTTTCTTGAACATAGTTGACCGCAAATAATAATGCATTGGCATCTCATTGCTAATTGTTTAATCTAAACTGTAAATTCAAAAAATCTAGATTATTAAGATTAATATTGCTGGCTCGCGAAACTGGTGCTTTCAATTTTACATATGTAACTACAATGGAATTTGATTTAAGTGTGCAAGTAAATAATTGGTTTTCTTTTAAAAATAATACTCCCTCCGTCCCCCTTAATTGTCCCATTTTTTCATTTTTGGATGTCCCCTATTATTGTCTCATACCATATTGGTAACATTTGTGTGGCTCTAATTCATTCTTACTTTATTCTCACTTTATCAACTCATTAAGTCAGTATGAACCACATAATTCTACTTTTCTTAAAAACTACCTCATTCTCTTCCGTCCCAATATTAGGGGGCGGAGGGAGTAATACAATAATGTCATCTATGTTGCACGGAAGTGTAGGAGGCGTGCTGAAATGTGAAACAGGAAACACCATCTTAAGGGGCGGAGCCATAACCAACATTCAGGGTGGACCGGAGGTAAACTAAAAAAACGCTATGTCAAAATTTAAACTAGTATATAGTTCGAATAAAATGATTAAAATTCATCAAATTTATATTGTAGTAGGTTTAAAAAACGAATGCAATGATTTTTCATTTTTTTAGAGCGGCTGAAATATTTGGAATTTCAATGAAGTTTTTATTTAACTCTTGTCCGTTTTGTGTACTTGCGGGCTTCAAAACGAAGCAATATTATTTTTGCCTTTTTTGAAGTACATTTGGTAGTCATACCTGCTTAAATTGATAAAAACTAATAAAATAATCAGTATATAGAGTACTATTTTCAATCACATACGTAGTACTACGTATGTTTTATTAATATGTTAAGAAATTGACCATCCTAATTCTCAATTTCACAAATGAAATTAGAATACGGAGTATGACAAATGATTCACCAATCGTAAAACATATTGACATGGTTAAATTCACATTAGCGAAACACTTAAAAACAAAAACAATTAAGCACTCAAACAGAACATTGAAAAATCAAGATAGCAATTTTTAAGATATTAGCTATGTACGTAATTCAAAATAAAAAATAAAGAATACCACTTAACTAACCTACTAGGCCGCTGGGGTTGTTGAGCCGATGAGCTGAACTGCAGATGGCAGCCAAAACTCCGAGAAGCTGAGAAGTGAGAAGAACTACCAGGCCGCAAAGCGGGTGGGGCGCGGGGCTGGGGCGGGGTACGTGACTGGGTGAGGCAGAAATCTATATTATATAGTAAAATAGAAAAGTGTGGGGGAGTTTTGGCGGGATTTTGGGCGGGATAGTGCACCATCTTTAAAGCAATTCTACGTTAGCACTCCTAAAAGGTATTAGAAGACAACCGCACAGAATACTAAAAAAGCTTTATTGAGTAGAGGAATAATAAATGCTAGAGCAATAATTGAAGTAACTTTTTAAATTCCCAACTATATAGTATATACGGAGTACAATTTGTAGAATAATAATTGAAGTGACTTATAGAATCCCACTAAAACACAATTTTTACAAAAGAGAATAATATCCGTAATAAATTGGAGTGATCTTCAAAATGACTATTGAAATTACCAATACCACATACTCGGTATTTATTGTCTTGGTGCAGGATAAGAGTATAAGACCATATATATGTATATACGGAGTAGTATATATAACGAGCAAAGAGCACACGGAACCTTCATCAAGCTACTTTAAGCTACTTCAAGATGGAGAACTGTCAATGTGTCATTATCAAGTAAGTGTTATGAGAAGGCATGATTGTATCCAAGATTTGTATGCTTAAAAATAGGTATGTATTTGTAATATCAGAATTAGTTCTGTATGAAGCGGGTAAGCAACTTGAAATAATATTGTTTGCAAGTATAAGCAACACAGATTGGATTTAAAATGTTTAAGAAAAAGTGGCAAGTCGCTATGCTCAAGTGAATGATAATGAGTCTTTTTCGAAAGGATAAAAAAGACATTTATTACAACTATTACCTATGAAAAGTAAAATTTAGTATTATTAAAATGAAAAGGATGCATGTTTAAATCTATAGTTTTTGTTTGATGTATGTAGGTATATAGGTTTCTATTAGCTTTCAATTAAAAAACACAGATTCACTTTCAGGCATCTTTTGAGAGAAGAAATATAGATTCACTTTTTGAGTATATAATATAAGTATGGGTCTGTAAGAAGCGAGTAACCAAGGGTAAAAAGGAAACTTTTTATGTAATTATAATTGCATAAAAAGTAAAAATAATAATGCATGTGTATGAATATAAAACACAAATTGCACGCTAGATATATTTAAGAAATAATGGAAAGTCACTTTCGCTAATAAATGTTAATTAGACATTTTTTTGGAAAATAACTGTGAAAAGTAGAATTTAGGTTATTAAAATGAAGTGGATGCATGTTTCAAACCGTAGATATGTTTTCTTAAATATAATAGTATAGGTTCAATTCTTAAAAACATAAATATTTCAAATAGTTTAATTTGGAGCTTTGTGTAAATTACTGTTTAAGCTTTAGATGGTTGAGGGATTTATACCTTCTACTCATTGAAAGTAGCTTATTTTGCATATCTTAAGCAACTCCATCGTTTGGCAGATCTGCTAGGGGGGAAAGATCAAATGGTGACACTTACAGAGAGTGAACAATACATGAGAAAAAGAGTTGTGCATATCATCAGTGATAAAGGTAAAACACTAAATTGATTTATGCAGAATCACACATTGTTGACAGGTTACTTTTTGTGGAATCTATGTTTTAAGCTGATACAATGCAGCTTTAACTGTACATGTTATTGCCGATTATAAACTTTACCAACATTTGAAGTTACAAGCTCAAACCGTGAAGATTGAATTCTATTATTTCAAGAGACATATAGTTCAATTTAGTGTTATATAGATATATGGGTACTGTGGTGTGTAAAAATGTATGTATGGGTGATTATAAATTGTAACAAAATGAGATTTTTACAAGTTCAAACAGTAAAGATTGAACTCTGTGAATACACTTCAAATTAGAGCTATAACAACTCATTTTTAATCTAAGCTCCATAAAACATGTATAATTATAAAATAATGTCTTAGAATAGATATATCTATGATTTACAAAAAATCTACGAAGTATCAAGCATTAAAACACTTTAACATGATTTCATATTACATATATATATATATATATATATATATATATATATATATATATATATATATATATATATATTACATACAACGTATATTACATATGCATTAGATTAATATTGTTATAGATACTATAGTAGTTAATTACTACAGTTAGTACCTTTCATTATATGTAAGCAGAGTAATAGACGTGTGGCAGTGTAAACCCTCCATTTAGAACCTTTGAATGAAAAGAGATTGTCCATGTATGAATATTAATTAAATTTTAAATAATGATATCTTCTAGAGATTACCCATGTAGATTATTTTGAATTCAAGACTCAAGCTTTAACTGTGCTCAAGCCGCCGTATAGAGAAACCGAAATAGACATGCACCACCTAGGTCTAAATATGAAAGGGATAGAAGTTTGGCATAAATTAGGGGATCAATTGGGAAAATACCGGAACTAATCAATATAGATAACGAGAATGATGGAGGAATACCGGGACTACGGAAGGTCGGAAGGTGACTATTGAGAAGGGCGGATTGGCCGAACCACCGAAGGGCCGGTAAATGGCGGAGTGCAGGCGACCGGGTGACGGGCGTGAGGCGAGAAGGAGACAACGTGCTGCGTCCTGGAGCTGGCCGGCGGGAGACGCCGTGAAGTGAGTCGGCAACTTAGCCGGGCGTTGGACACTTCGGCCGTTCAAGTAGACAGATACTAGATGTCGATGAGTTAGATCCAATTTTGTCTACTTGGCTTCCTGAAGTCAAAGTACTACACTTTTGTTAATTTTGGGCTTTTGTTCAATTGGACTTAATAAACTTTAAATTAGGCTGATTTAGGGGCCCAAAAGGTTTTATTTTTTTGGCCAGCGCCCCCCACCCTTGCTACCCCTCGGGCCGAGTTTTGTAATTCTATTTCTACTATGGGTATTGAAGAACGAAAAAAACTTTTACACATGTTTATGTAAGTTAAGTTTTTTTTGTCTGTACGACAAAAAAATTAAGTCGTGTTTGTAAAAGATCAAGATTATTAGAAATTAGTCAGATTAAGGAAAGGACAGAATAGAGATACTAATTAGAATGGTGCAGTTGACTGGTGAAGGATGCAGTTGATTGAAACGCGCCTTCGAGAGACAATGGTGGTTTGTCTGCTTCGTGAATGTGGAAGAAGTGTGTTGGGCAAACAAGGGGTATATTGTGCACATGGAAAAAGGAAAGTAATTGGGGGTAAAAGGATGGAGGTAAATGAGCGTTTCTTTTTCCTTTTTACGAATGTGTAAGAGCCTATTTTAGATTTTCGCCTGGAGTTGGATAAAAATAAGGTTTGAGAATATTGATTTACTATCACAATTTAATATTGTAAAAAAATGGACCAAGAACATTTTTTTATAATTTAAAGCTTATATAAGATTTTATATACTTCTAGCTATATTAAAATAAAATAGTCAGTTTGAAATAATATGCATTTTTAATTAATAATGCGGGAGCTATAATGAGGATAATTATAAATCTAGCTGAAAAGTATACTCCATATAAAAAAAGTCTCATGAGATAGCCTAATACTACGTAGTTCTTTATGGATTATAGTAGACTGATTTCAGTGTCAATCTCGAATTTGATCAAACCAGATCAGAGTATATTGGTCCTTATCAGACTTAGTCAATAATAAATTCACATAGAATAGATATTTACCATATCAAATGATATCATGTAAAAAAATTAGTCCTATGAAAAACATCTTTAATCAAATTTTAAAGAGGTTATATTTTAATCACACATGTTATATTTTTTCCACAGTTAAACAAAACAACGGTTTTTTTAAGGTATTTTTTCTAGACCAATACTGTGAATGTAATTGTTTTAATAATCAGCATATGGTATTCTTGATTATTTTAATAAACATAACAATGTTTAGTTTCTATTTTGTAGTTTCTATTTTGTTTTTAAAAAGCTTCTATTTCAAAAATATCAATTTCAAAGTAATTTACTGATTGGTACCACATATATTAACCACTGGTATGATTTGTGCGAGTGTCGTAACTGATGATCAGAGAGGACGAAAGTGCTTACATGTGATTTGTAAGGGCGAAAAGGCTGAGAGACAAACAATGAATGTGATGATGCTCGCCGATCATTGGGGATGAGAAGGTTGAGAAGGCTATGCCAATTCAGCATAGATGAGATTAGGGCTCGGGAAAGTATTTTATACTTGGGTTTTGGGTTGAGTTTGGGTTGTGGGATTTTGTTCTCTAGACATGTCAACTACTAAGGCTCTGTTTGCAAGTGATTGTGCTTAAATAAAAGCACTTTTTGGGAAAAAGTGATTAGTAGTAAAAGTTGGTAGTGTTTGGTAAAATAAGTGCTTTTTGTGTAATAGAAAAAGTATAAAGTAGATTCTACACGAAAACCGAGAAAGTAAAAGTTGGTATTGTTTGGTAAAATAATTGCTGTTTTCTTAAGAAAAAGCCAAAAGCACTTAAATTAATTGTTTGCAAACAAAGCCTAAAAAGATTTTAAAAAAGATGTTTACTGCAGAGTATTTTACATGAAATAAATTTTCATGACATCGTAAATAAATATTTTTTTGTAAAATAATCGGTATGACGGTGGTTTGATGATATTTATATGTGACATATGGAAAAAATACCACCATAACGTCCAATGTTGTATTGAAGGATGTTTTTCGAAATTTGTAAAGCATTTATAACATTCATCTTTTAAAAAACTTTTATTGTGAAAATATTTTATTTATTTCTTTTTTGCTAGATGTATATTTACAATTCATATTACTATATTACGAAATTTGAGTTCTTTTATACTAAAATTAAATTACATGTATTATTCATATTATTCAGAAACCTACTTTTGATATGAGAATTACACTTCCTGTGCATCGCACGGGTATAATACTAGTTGGGAGAAGGGAAGATTTTTCTTTGATTTGGTCTGCCCAATGGGCTGGCACTGGCCCAGATTATTTTTCCATTCGGCCAGCTGATATTTTTGTTATTCTTTTAATATACTAGGCCCCAGATTATATATTTTTTTTATCGTCAAAGTGCTTTAAATTAATAAAATAACATTCAGCAGGGGTACAAGATAACAAAAGGATCACATGCAACCATCTTCTCTTGGCCGAGACTCTGAGTTAATCACCTTTGACAAAGCAATATAACTCGTTTGACCTAAATTGGACAACAAACAGCCATTGACGATTACCGTAGACCTCTCATCCCTATTATATATTTAAAAAATTATATTTTAATATATATTTGAAGTATAATACAAAAAATAAAAAATTTACCCTGTGCCAGGGCTCCCTAGGCGGCTAGGCCTCCACCCTCCGCTCCTGGGTCCCTTTTAGCATAAAGAAGAGTTGAGAGAGTTTTTAGTGAATTTCCATAAAGTTTCAAGAATGAAAAGCACTCTTTCTCGATAAGGAAGATTATTGATAGTAAATCAGAAATCAGAAACTCTATTGCTTACTTTTAAAATTGAATGGTATCCCTATATGAAGACTTAGAGGTAGGGATCGTGAATGGATAGGGCCACATTCACGGAAAACTAATGCGTATAGATTTGATTGGGTTTGGCTCAATTTATAAAAAATTGATTAAAGATGTTTTCTTTTGTATTGTTTTCAATCTCAGATCAGACTATATCAGACAAGACTTCCATAGTTATATAATACACAGAGACCAGACGTTTATTCTGGTATCTTTGGTGATGAAAACATCCCCTGCCATTACCATCCATATAGTTTATCTTCTTCTTATTATTCTTTCAGCTCTGCGTGTCCTTAAAATTGGGCTCTATGTATGGACAAGTACTGAAGCGTTTGAATGGTAATAATCCTTTAAAATTGCTATACGGACACAATTAACTATTGTAACCAAAAGTTTGATCACCATTTGTGATCAAGAAGGGTCTTGCTAGCTATATTTCTCTGCTTACAACTTCTCGAAGTTTCTGCCATCACCACCGCTCCGGGTTATTTGAGATTGAATGTGCAATGGTTTGTTCTTGCTTCAAATTAATGTGTCATAGTTATTGATGCTCCCTCGCTTATTATTATTGTCTTATTTATCATTGATTGTCTTAAAACAACCATGAGTTCTCCTAATATGTCTTGAGCACCAGAGAGCAATTCTTTGCTATAACAAATACACACTATACTTCTAGTCTAAAAACATTCTTACTTCTATTCTGAAACTGAATGAACTCTTCTTACTCATGTACAGAACTTAAACTTAACTTAAAATACTTACTTGGAAGATGATGAGCACGTGTACGATGACAAATGAAGTTACGGGACAACCTGGGCTCTGATACCAAACTTGTAACGCCCCTCTCAGGGTTAAAGGAAACGTTACACTAACGTACTACTTTTAAAAAAAATAAACTGCAGTATAACGGCCGTCTATTGAAGAATAACCCTGATAAAATCTCATATATATCTAAAACAACTCCAAACAAAAACTTAATAAAATAGTTATCACTAGTAAATGTGATAACCACCTGGATCCAGGAATTTATTCAAAACTCAAATCCACCATAAAATAAAGAAATAATAATCTCTTTATTATAACAACTGAAATACTGAAATAAAAATAATAACTAGCTAGAAGCCACCAAGGTCGTTCCCGTTAACTCATTTTGGCACGCGTTCCACTCTCTCATCATCTTCCTAAGCCTTGGCCTTACCCTTAGTATTTGTATCTGTACATGCGAAGAAACAAAACTGATAAGCTTTATGCTTAGTAAGTCACTATTGGATCCACAAAAATATATAGAAGTCTATGCCAATTTATCAATAGATAAATTTAGGCTATAAGCAATGTACTGAACAAATAACCAACACACAACTTCTCAAATACATTCTGAGGGAGATCTCATAAGGAAAATATTTTCTAAAATAATTTCTCAAAACTGTCGGAGAAATCTCAAAATTTCTTTCTCAAAACATCTCTGTAAAACTTTCTGAAGAGATCTCAAAAACAACTTTCTGTAAAACTTTCTGAAAGAGATCTC